TGCTCCGCGCAGCAACACGGACGCATCCGACTGCCCGTCAATATATGTCTCACGGGTACAAGAGCATTCCATTTGGCGAATAATGTGTGCATTGCTGAGTATGGGCCGGCTGATTGGCAGCTGACCTGTGCCAGCTGCACGCCCTCTCGCCCCACCCCGCTCCACCCCGCCCGCCTTGCCCGTTGGCACCGAGTGTGGCCATCCAGCCCGTCTGCTAAAAAGAAAAAGTGGTCGATGGACACTGTGTAGGAGAGCACGGAGCGCAAGGATGTATATTTATTGTTACTTTTTAGTTGGAAGGTAAGTGCCGTCAAGCCGTCAGAGGTGTCACAAAGCTCGCTTGTGGTTGTGTAGGATGAGGGGGGCGGGGCCGGGTTCGCATCCGTCTCTGAAGTAGGTGTCGGCGCGGCGGTCTGCTCTGCGGTGTGCGATGAATAGAATTAAGTGGTGCACCGCCGGGCCGGGCTGTGGTCGGGGGCTCGCTTAGCGGTTGATGCTGCTGATGCCGTGGCGGGGCGGGGCGGGGCGGGCGGCCCCGATGGGGCGGGCGGGCAGCCTGGCGGCCTTCATTGAGGGCCTGGTGATGCTGCTGCTGCCGGCGGGGCTACGCGGGGCTCGCGCGGGGGGCTCGACCTGTAGTGGGGTCCCCCGACGCTGGTCATAACACGGGGCAGGGCCGAGGCAGCCGGGCAGCCCGAGCTGGCAGCCGGCGCCGGCCCACCCCCGCGCCGCCCCCGTCCGCCCCCTCTGCCCCCGGGCCCCACTACCCGCGCTATGGTCCTCCAGGGAAGTCGCCCAGGCCAGGCCGCCCCCCTCCTCCCGGTCGGGGCCGCAATGGGCGGGCTGATGAAGCTTGTTCCGAACACGTATTCCAGGACGACGGGACGGACCCGGGTGGACCTAGGCGGTCGGGTGTGTCCTTCTCTCCTCCAGTCGTCACTCGAGCGCAGAGTCAGCAGCTCGGGCCTCGTCCCGACAGCGCCAAGGCTCGGCTTCAAAATGAAGACCTGCACAAATTGTCTTCTTGGTTTTATATGGGCCTTGGAAAGAATCTTCAACCCTGCCCAGCGGGAGGCAGCCGCACGACGGCGCGACCGCGGCAGAGTCTTCGTCCCCGCAC